CTGGGCACGTGAAACCAAGAATTTCACTTGCGAGATCCTCAAAATTCTGGTCCCCAGGAGAGGACAATCCATAACACAAAACAAGCATTTCGCTCGAGACATCCTCAACAAATCCTGAAAAACAAGCGTTTCGCTAGGGACATCCTCAAAAATAATTCCGCCGGCCCACCTCGACCTCGATATCTATCAGGGAGTAATTCCGCCGGCCCACCTCAAGGCAGGTCCGGGGGTAAACAGCTAAAAGAGAACCCTGGGCCTAAGCCCTTTCCGGGAAAAGCAGGTGGAAACACGAAGGAGGAGTGCGAATGAAGTAGATCGGGTCCGTCAGGGCCCGCCCAACGAATGGCAACAATCTGCAAGAGCATATCGGCTCTTGAAGTAGGAAGGCGCGTGAAAGACATGGGGATCTGGGGGCCCCAGAGTACAGAGCATATAAGTAAACATGATGGACCCACGAACCCGGAAAGGGATATAGACATGTGCAGCATGGTCACGTTTTCACGATATCCAACTGGGCGACACCTCACGAAACATCCCACGAGACACCCCGCGAAACATCCCAGGAGACACCTCACGAAACAACCCACGAGACACCTCACGAAACATTCCACGAGACACCCCGTGAAACATTCCACGAGACACCCCACGAACAGGCAACCACTCAACCAGACACCCCACGAAACATTCCACGGGGGTGCGACTGGGTGTGGTCGTGCTGGGGTGTGGTCGTGCTGAAGTATGGTCGTGTTGGGGTGTGGTCGTGCTGGGGTGTGGTCGTGCTGGGGGGTGGTCGTGCTGGGGGGTGGTCGTGCTAGGGGGGTGGTCGTGCTGGGGCGTGGTCGTGCTGGGGCGTGGTCGTGCTGGGGCGTGGTCGTGCTGGGGTGTGGTCGTGCTGTGGTGAGGTCGTGCTGGGGTGTGGTCGTGCTGGGGTGTGGTCTTGCTGGGGTGGGTCGTGCTGGGGTGGGTCGTGCTGGGGTGTGGTCGTGCTGGGGTGTGGTCGTGCTGTGGGGGGGTCGTGCTGGGGTGGTGGGGGTCGTGCTGGGGTGTGGTCGTGCTGGGGGGGTCGTGCTGGGGTGGGGTCGTGCGTGCTGGGGTGTGGTCGTGCTGGGGTGTGGTCGTGCTGGGGCGTGGTCGTGCTGGGGTGGGGTCGTGCTGGGGTGGGGTCGTGCTGGGGTGTGGTCGTGCTGGGGTGGTCCGCACCCTGTGATTTATCGATCGGGTCGTGCTGGGGTGTGGTCGTGCTGGGGTGTGGTCGTGCTGGGGTGTGGTCGTGCTGGGGTGTGGTCGTGCTGGGGTGTGGTCGTGCTGGGGCGTGGTCGTGCTGGGGCGTGCTGGGGTGTGGTCGTGCTGGGATGTGGTCGTGCTGAGGTGGCCCGCACCCTGTGATTTATCGATCGGGATTTCAAAAACAAGCGTTTCGCCTGAGACATCCTCAAATTTTAATCCGCCGGCCTCCTTCGACCTCGATATTTATCAGGGAAAGAATCCGCCGGCCTCCTTCAAATTGGGCACGGGGGGATATGTTTACATAGAAAAAGAGAACCCTGGGCCTGCGCCCTTTCCGGGAAAATTCTACGCTCGTCTTCCAGTGCTGTAAGGTTTGAAGCCCGCGTGAGGAGCCCAGTCCGGAGACGGGCCGCCGCCCACGCCAGAACCACGTCCTCAGAATCCATGGTCTGGGGGGGGCCCTGGGGGGCACGTAAAGCACTGCAGATCTGCGCTCCCGGAGCCGCAGCCTTCCTGGCAGATGTCAGCGGACTCGCGCTCCCGAGGCCACGACCACTTGCAAACGCCAGCGGGCTCGCGCCGAAGAGGCCACGCTATTCAGTGAAGTGACGCGATTTCGCGAAGCTACAACCTCGCGTACATTACGACACGTCTGCGGCTTATATGGTTTTTGTTAATGTTGAGGGCTTCATGTCAACTCCGATTACCGGCGTTTTCGTTATACGCGTTGGGCGCCTGTGTTGTTGAGCCTTCAGATCCTGGATCGACCTATGGCCCACCTGCCCGTGTTCTTTACGCTCCCGTGCATTTGCTTTCGCATCTCTAGATCACGCAAACGCAGCCTGCCTGACGTCCACTGTCCGGTGCCGTGCTTGCCACGTCTTGGCCGGGTCCACAGCAAAACAGCTGGAGAACGGGCGCGACCACGCCCCCCGCGATCCTAGGACCAGCCAAGGTCTGCGCCCCTGGAGCCACACGGCCCCGTCGAAGGCACGATGGATGCGCGCCCCCCGAACTCGCAGTCCCTGCACGTTGAAGCGCGCTCGCGCTCCCGAGGCCACGGCCCCTCGTAAAAGGCGGCCCGTTCGCACTGGCGGGAGGGGGGCCTTGGTCCATGATGCGTCCCCCTTGTGTGCTGTGGCCCGAGGCACCCAGGATCAAGTCGGGCCTGTCCCTCTACAGGGGGAATATTGCAAACCAGTCCAAAAAATAGTCTGGGGACGAGGTTTCGACCATTTTTTGCCTTTCAACTTTCGCCAAAAATCCGCCTGTGGGGGGACATGCCCAGCCTGAACCCAGGGAGGGCCTCCACTATATCAGAACCAGAGACACTGCGCGCGCGTCGCGCGCGCTCGGGTTTTCGTTGATCGCCGCGCGCACGGGCACTCGATCGTGCTGCAGTGTCCGATTCTCGACGCACTGAACGCGCGTCATCATAATTCTTTGCCTTAGCCTCGCCTGGCCCGGTGCCCTCGTCCGTTCACAAGGGAGGAGCTGAGATGCATGAAGACAGGAACGATGAAGCCGTAGGGGGAGAGAAACGGAGGAATCTGAGGAAGGAAAAGGCTGAAACCACAGAAGGAGAAGCGAGCAAAGAAGAGTGATGGTTGAGGGAGAAGGCGGACGCAAGCTAGAGATGAGGGGCGAGGAGGGAGGGGAGAAGATGCAGAGTGGGGACAAGAGTGACAAGGTGGGATGGAGGCGGGGCGGGAGAGGCGGGAGAGGAGGGATGATGGAGGGGGCAGGAAGCATAACGCGACGACGTGAATGATGGGGGGCAGGGGGTATCGTTGAATTCAAGGGTGAGGCCGCGTGGATCTCGTATGACCTTAAACTCTCTCGTAGCAACGTTCGTGAGTACATCGGCCCCGCTACTAGTCTGATCTAAGAGAGGCAGGAGGGAGGGAGAAGAGAATAATCTACAAACGGAGAAGTAGCAGGGAGGAAGGTAGAGGAAAGAGGCAGAGGCAAGATAGAGATGCAGGGGAGGGAATCTGATTAAGAGCAGAAGGAGAAGACAGGATGCAATGGAAAGGGAGAGGGTTTTTCAGGGGGAGGGACAAGGATGATAGAAGAGCGGATAGCCGAATCCGCAGAGACCCGCTTCCCGGAAGCGACAAGACGTGTGAGATGATTGGCTGTCACCCCTTCCACTTTCCCCCTCCCCTGGGTCGGGAGCGGCAAAGAGGGGGGTGTCCAAGAGGGGGGGGTGCAAATCATGACCGGCGGCATGTGCGCGGCCCAGCGGGGGGGCCAGAGACGTAATGAAACAAGAAGAGGGGCCATGAAATCTGGGGAAATATCATGGCCCACGCCATGATATCCCCCCCCCTCCCTAGTCATCACCCCCCTCTTTTCCGCCCCCGACTGGGGTCTAACATCGCATTAGAGTGGGAAGGGTGTGGCCGGGCTTATCAACGCTCCCCCGGGGCCCCGTGGCCGCCCAGATTCCAGAATGCTTTCTGAGATGGCTCGAGAAGGGCTCCAACAGACCGGAGAGGCCTCGAGAAAATCCAAGATGGCCTCCAGACGGCCCAAGACGCCGACATAGAGCCCAAAGAGGACTCCCCAGAGGGCCTCAAGAGACAACACGCTTTGATGTTCTACAGGTTTTCGAATGGCTTTCGCATTCTCGGCACTCTGGCGTCTGTAAGCTCAAGATGCCCCAAGGAAACCACCCAGACTGGGCCAAGATGTCCTCCAAAACGGCCCGGAGACTGCTAAGGATGGCCCTAAGACAGCCCAAGAGGCCTCCAAGACGGCAAAAGAACCGTGAATAAGGCCTCAAGGGAGACCGCCCAACAGAGGCCCAAGAGGGGGAACCCGCCAGAGCCCTGGGAACCCTCCCCCAGAAGCTGGCCCCCAAGACCCCCAACAAACATGCCCCCAAGAGGCCTTCAGAGGGCCCCCCAAACGCCTCCTGAAGCCTTGAAACAGCTCCACGAGGCTGCTGCCCAGGCCTCCAAAGGCACCCAAGAAAACCCGCAACGGACACGGAGAAAGAGGACGCATCATAGAGGGCAGAACATCCACACCGATAAGAATCACCCCGACAGGCGAAGCCGTTCAGTAAACGCACCCACGGAGAGAATCGAACAGGGCAGAGCTGTTTAGTAAACGCCCAGGGCCGTTCAGTAAACGCAGATTGTCGGGTCCGGATGGTTGTTCCTCCCTTGACATCAGCAACAACTACACGAAGGTAGCACGACGGGATGTGGCAAACAACTCGCACGAAATCGGAAGCCGCACGTCTCATCTTCTGTGAGCTGGCGGCATCGCGCAAGCCTCTTGAATCCGCCCGCTCACCGGACTGAGGATGTGAGACTTTCGTGTGAGAGTTCCCTACATGGCTTTAGCCCGCCTTTTCGCCCCCAGACGGCTCCGCCATTCCGCCGTCCGGCTGCGCCATCGGCCTCCGTGTCGAGCCTCAAGACGGAGACGGCCTTCAAAACGAGCTCGATTTTGAGGTCCTTATGGCGACACCTTCGGGGCGCATTTTGGCCCCATTTCGGCTCCTTCGGGGCGTTTCCTCGGCTCGCAGCCAGCTCCCGAGGCCCTCCAGGGTGTCTCTGGGACCCAACTGCGCGTGCAATCTGGCGGTGGTGGACAAACCCCCTTTTGGCAAACCACCCTTTAATGAAAAACGGCCTAGGACCGAAACCGACGGACCTGGACCCGCAAAAATGACGGCAGCGACGCCCTCTCGCAAACCGAAAACGGCCAATTCGCGAATCGACGTGTCTGGGTAGGAGGTCTGTCCACCCCCGAAACTTGTTTTTTGGTGATGGTAGCGGCGACGACGCCCCGGCGCCAGTCTTTGCCGCCGTGTCGGGAAACTGCCGGCAGACGCCAGCGCGCAAGCTGCATTCCACTTGCACGCTGCAGTACGGCGGAGAAAGCAGGAAGACCCGCATACAGCAGGTTTTCTTGATGGGCCTAGCGCCCTGACAGCATTGAGGAACAGCCTGGCGAAGTGACGCGCTCACATCATCGCGCTACGGTTGGGTACGAAACCAGATCGGTCGGTCGGACGCGGGGGTGGTGGTCGCGTCCGTCTGTCCACCCCCGAAACTGGGAGCTTCAAACATTCAAACATATAGCAAAATCGCTAGATGTTCCATAATGTTTGCCTCGCCTGGGGTCGTCCAAACGCTTGTCATAGCATATATTTTCCTACAAGCATGATTTCAAATGATTTCAATGTAGTAGGTGCGCGAAGCGGCCTAGCAACCCGGCCACCTCGAGTCAAGATGTATCGTGCAAGTGAGCAGCCGAAGGTCAGCGTGGACGACACGCCGATCTACTGCAAACAAGTCTTCGGGACAAATCGTGCAAATACGCAGTTTCACAAAGAGAGTGTTACTCCTCGGTGGCCCTCCATTGCGCAGCTGCTCTTTGGCAGGCTGCTCAGAACTCGTCGCCGTAGCCCTCTTCCTCGTCCTCGCCCTCGCCCTCCGCGGTTTCTATGCCCACCTCTTCATAGTCCTTCTCCAGCGCCGCCAGGTCCTCGCGAGCCTCGGAGAACCCGCCCTCTTCCATACCCTCGCCCACGTACCAATGCACGAACGCGCGCTTCGAGCACATGAAATCGAATTTGTGGTCGATGCGCGAGAAAATCTCTGCGATGGCGGTGGAGTTGCTGATCACGCAGCAAGCGCGCATGACTTTAGCCAGGTCACCGCCAAGGACTACAGTGGGAGGCTGGTATTGGTTGCCCTACTTGAAGACCGTGGGGCACCAATCGACGAATAAGCACCCGCGTGCGGGCCGCGCCGCGGCCTCGGGTCGGCCCTCTGGGGGGGATCTCGTTGACGCAGTGGAGACCCCCACTGCGTGCTGGATCTGTTACGGGGCGCCCATCCCGCAGAACCCCTTTTCTGGATTCTGTAGCAGTTCGGGGCAGGCCAGGAGCTGCAACGGCAAACCAGCGCGACGGTCCGCACATGGGCATTCCTGTAGGCCGGAGCTGTATAAGGCGCTCCCACATGTAGGTCGGTTGGCCCACCCACCTGTCAGGCTGCGACCCGCGGGCCGGTTGAATTCCCTGCATGTCTTTGGCCCCCACGCCACTGCCTACGCGGTAGCGCGAACACCGAGAATCCCGAAGCTGGGAACACCCCGGGCACCTCGTCCGCAGATGGCCCCGGTCAGCAGACAGTCCCTCGTGCGAGGTACTTCTCCAGCCCAGAGCCATGCCCGCCAGAGCTTCGTTAGCCGCGTCAACCACGTGCCGTTGGCGCCCTTCCGCCCCGGAGGGTAGCCCGCGAAACCTCCGGCGAGCCGGAGGGGGCGGGAGAGGCTGCCACAGCGCCGTGGGATCGTTCCCGCTCCACGCCAGACTTTCGTCGGTATGTGAGGTTGGGCTTTCGGCAACAGTGTGGCAAAGACATGGGTGCAGCCACCTCCGAGCCCCCCCCCTGCCGGGCCGCGGCCGTAGCTGGGGAGCCGTTCATGGCACGCTTTTTCCGCAGAGTTAACGGGCCCATAGCTCGAGAGCATGAAGTGAATGCGCGGGTAGGGCACCAAATTCGTCTGGAACTCGGTAATGTCCACGTTCAGAGCACCGTCGAAGCGCAACGACGCAGTCAGCGAGGAGATGATCTGCGCCAGCAGCCTGTTCATATTGGTGTAAGTAGGGCGCTCGATATCAAGACTACGGCGGCATATGTCGTACAATGCCTCGTTGTCATACATGGGGGGAACAAAGCCAGCGAAACTGGCCTCAGCATGCCGCGCCACGCAGGTGGCTTGTTTGACGGCGCAAGCCTAAGCCAGGTGGAAATGCTGCCTCAACCAGCTGGCCGGCTGAATATGCTCAGCCCTCCAGCTGCCTCCTCTCCTCCTCCTCCTCCACCCGTTGTCATACATGATGGTGGCGTCTGTGTGCTCCAGGAGGGAGTGCACGCAGAGCACGAAGTTGTAGGGCCCCACCACTGCCGTGGCGACCTGCGGGCCAGCCCACACGGTGAAAGAGACCCTCGTCTTCTTCCCGTAGTCCACACACAAGCGCTCCAGCATCAGGCAGCCAAGCCCGGAGCCAGTGCCTCCGCCGACGGCATTGTAAACCATGAAGCCCCGAAGGCCCGTACACTTGTCGGCCAACTTTCTGACCCGATCGAGGACGAGGTCGACGATCTCCTTGCCGATGGTGGTGTGCCCTCGCGCGAAATTATTTGCGGCGTCCTCCTTCCCAGAGACGAGCTGCTCAGGGTGGAACAGCTGGCGGTAGGTACCCGTGCGTTCATCGACCACAGTGGGCTCCAGGTCAACCATCACACAGCGGGGGACGTGCTTGCCGGCGCCAGTCTCGGAGAAGAACGTGTTGAAGGCATCGTCGCCACCTCCGATCGTCTTATCAGAAAGCATCTGGCCGTCAGGCTGAATGCCGTGCTCAAAGCAAAAGAGCTGTGCGGGGAGCTCGAAGGCCAGTAGATGGCCGCCCGTGGGCTCCGGAGGGCAACCCTGAATCTCCCCAGCGATCACAAAATCGATATTGCGTCTTTTTTCCCAAGTGTCTGTAGCCATGCGTACACTTTCAAGTCCTGTCCCTGGTACCGGAACATGCGAACCTGCAGCTTGTCGATGTAAGACTAGGTACCTCACGGGGGGCGTGGCAGACACGTAGCCCCCATCAGCCCCCTCGACCGCAGTCTCGGGAGCGGGCCACCAGCCACCATACCAACAGGACCGCTGAGTCCACCCAGCATCGCCCTTGGGGAAACCTCTGGAACCCGTGTCGATGTCGAAGTTCGCCGATGAATGAAATGGATAACCCACGTCACACGCCGACACGCCCCCCAAGGGCTCGACATGGTACCACAAACTGCGGCAACCACCCTTGGGCGAACACGGTATCCCGTTATTAGACGCTCTGCACGCCATTCGCCACCGAAGCCGCGGACTTCGCCCAGGCGTTCCACCTGCTACCTCTTTGGGGCAAAAGAGCTGTGCGGGGCGCTCGAAGGCCAGAAACTGGCCGCCCAGGGCTAACTGTACAGTCCCCAGAGCCGCCATACACAACGCCAACATTGTACACAGCGAAATCCAACGAGGCGCATATGGCCTCGTAGAGGGCGCGCACGCTCGACGAGCCACGCAAGCCAGCCTCCCGTGCATGGAATTACGGGCCGCTGCCCCACCACGCCCTCGGCCCGCCCCGGCCACAACCCGGCACAGGAACGCAGCGATATACACCCACATTGGCCACGCAAGTGTACAGACTGGAAATGCATACGAGAGCTCTTCAACTAAAAAGATGAACCAACAAAAGTTGGTGGGGGCCGACTGCCAGCCTACGGATGCCGAAAATCGCCACGCCACAGTACAGCGCCGCCAGAGCGTGCCGTCGCCGCCGCATGACACGCCCTGACGTCCCTCCGCTAGAACGCCACACGCGCGGTGTCTCATCTTTAGTCGCTGCACACCGAAGCCCGCGCGATACACCTGCACCCTCGATGAGGGAGATGAGCAACTGCAGGGGCAAAAGAGCTCCCAGCATGCATTGCCAATCTGCACACCCGCCTGCCCAATGTGGATGCAGATCGCCTCGCGCATTGCGTCCTGTGGGATTCTTGCTCGAAGTGTGAAGTTTGACGGGGGGTGACCAGCTCACAAGGCCGCAGCGTGATGTGACAGCCTCGCTCAGCAACCGCTTGTTTGCCAAAATGGCTACGGAAAAAAACGTTTGTTATAGCTGACAGTCGGGCTCGTCTGGGCTATTTTCAGTCGTGTAAATTTCGTCGCCGATGTTGGGCGATTGCGGTATCAATTTTGAACGATTCTGGACCCAACTGGGGCCCCCCAGACGGATCCCAAACCAGCCCCGAACTGGCCAAACTTTCGATGGCATTTGGACAAATTACGGCCCAACGCGGACGTGCTGTCGCTTGGGCCGCCCGGAAGCCCGCCTGGGCCGCCTCGGGCCCATCTTGGCCCTATTTTGGGCCCGTGGACCTTCTTTCGCCCTTGTGAGCACCGGCAGGGCAGTTTTCGGGCCGTCTCTGGCTGGTCTCGGGCTTGTTCTGGCTACCTCTGGCCTCCTGCTCTGGATAGGGAGCACAGATCCACAGAATCACCGGGCTGAGTGGCGTGGGAAACTCGATACTGAGAGCTACTTACAAAATCTAGCCCCCTCTCTTTCCCCAGAGGTTTCCGCCATTCCGCCGCCCGGCTGCGTCCCATCCCCTGTCCGGCCCCCAAGACGGCGCAACGCGGACATGGCGCGGAAGCAGACTACCACACGACAAATTCCCCACCGATCGGGTACGCAGCATACCTGGGCCAAAAAGCGATGGCATGGAGAAAAAATGGAGCGCAAAACAAATAACAAAACACACAGGAGGAAGAGCAGATCCCGGGCACGCGTTCTGGAAACACCACGCGCTGTCGCGCCAGCATGCGGAGCACCTGCGGTCACCAGGAAACACTTCGAAGAAGTCGTGGTTATGTCCTTTTCGTGGTCCTCCTTCTTCCTTTCCCCGCCTCCACTACCGTGTATATCCCTTCCTCTGATACAGCCGTCCCTCCATCCTTCCCTCGCCCGTTCCTCCTCCTCCTCCTCCTCCTTCTCCTCCTCCTCCTCCTCCGCGTCCGTCACATGGCCCTCTTGAAAAGGTCTTGGAGTCAACTTTGGAGCCCTTTTCGGGCGCTTGTGGGCCGTTTTGGGCGTTGGTTGGAACACCCGCGAAGGTCTTGGGGTCTGTTTGGCCGTCTTGGGCCCCCTTAGGCCGCCTCGGGCCCATCCTGTAGTTCGAAGGGGATTGGGAGGCCCAGCCAAAAACTTCGCCTAAGGCGAAGCCCAGATCAAATCCTGCTGTACGGTAGTGGCGATACTCCCAAAAGTAAGAGGTCGTCGCGGAAGCGACGGGCCATGTCAAGCGAATATGTTTTCGGTCTCAAGTTCAACTAGTGTGCCTCGCGATGGGGCGCACTCATATGTTGGCGGCTGGCCGTTTGAGCACAAACAGCCGCGGAGAAACGCTCGCTACCTCTCGCCTTTGCCCCAACCTCTTTGAGAATCGGGGGGAGGAGACGAAGCGTGAGTCCGCCGCCCGCTATACAGCGACATTGTGTATGTATATATATATATATATACAAAATAAGCAGCAACAGGCGGGCCCAACAAGGAACGTTTCAACGCGCGGCAATGCCCTTGCAACCAACTTGCCTCGCAGGCAAGTCACCTTGCAGGCAATTGCTCCTCAGGCGGTTCAGACGATCCTGTCTGGCCAGCCCTGTATTGACTATGTCGTTTTTAAGTTGCGCTTGAAGGATTGCGCTCCTCCCATGGCATGTAGGAGCATATCCCTGCCGATGCTCCCTTTGGTGTGGCCGTCCGCGGTCATGTCGTGAGCGTCACACCACTGTACACTGTGCACGATACCTCGCTCCATCACCTGCCGTATCCAACTGATGTGTCCCAAGAAGTACACCCAATCGGGTTCGTCAGGTCTTTGCTTGACAAGGGCTTGTAGACATATTCCGCCTCGATGGTCAAAGTGACCTTAGTGCTCAGGCCACCTATCTCAAGTCTATCTTTCAACTGACTGGGTGTCAGGTGCCATTCGTAGAGTTCATGCGGAGTGACGACCGTGGGATACCAGTCATCCAATGTGTGGGCTGCTGCTCGTGTTCCCGCTGAATAGATCAAGCAGACCTGCAAGCGGTGAGACTTGCAGTACGCGTCGATAAGATGGACGACGGGCTTACCAGCAGGCATGTTTCCACGCCGTAGCAGGCTTGCCCCGCGAATGCGATAGCCTTCGACCTCGTCCTCGGCATCTCCGCTAAGACGCCCGTAACCGGAGTCGCTGTGCAGGTCGACCTCGCCCGTTGGAGTTATCGATTGGTAGGCGATCTTCCTAGGGCAAGCATGCGGCTTTCTGGTAGTCGCGCTCAGTCGGTTGGTTCTTGGACGCACATTAGGGATGCAACATATACCATCAACCCCGCCTGTTTGATCAGGGCGTAAGCCAAGGCGCCTCTGAGGCTGACAAACATGTCGGTGGCCATCTTCGATGCCTTGGCGTCAGCGTCTGCGCCAGTGATATCAGGATGTTGCATGCGACAGAGCTGTTATGTATTCGCCTTGATTTAGTGTACCGTTGCCGCCCCTATCCATTGCGTACCTCTCATCGCAATTGGTATACGTGTGTTTGTTGAGTCCGCACTTGCCAAATCCATCCTAAACGCACTTGACGAACCTATCGAAAGTGTCCTCAGTACCGGCCATATTGATGTCATCAACGTGCTTGGCTGTAGGAAGGTAAGAGCTCGTCTCGGACTCCTCGTCGTAGGACGTTGGTCTGAGACCAAACCCTGTTGTGGTCTTTCTGATCTTCAGTGAGAATGCTAAAGGTTCGCCCTTGGTGCTGGCGCCTGGTTCGAGGCACTGCAAGCAGTGCGCCGACTCACCCTAGCGCTCAAATCCTGGGAGGGACCTCGGCGCAGATGCCGATCCAGGCGGCGGTGTAAGGCGCGCCGCGCGTTCCTTTTCAGCCGCCGCCTCAGCAAGTTCCTGATATGTAAGTCCGTTCAGGAAAACCACGTTGATGTCGAGGGAAACAATGGCTCATTGCTTCGAACATTTCCACGTCGAAAGCTTCGAGGCCCTTGCACCCCCGAAGTACCAGGCGTACTTTAGTGGTGCGTTCCATCGCGCCCTTCCATTATTGGACGAACTTCCACGTGCGCCCGTAGCTCGAAGTCATGATGTTTGACGCCATGCTGAAGCCCTTGTTGTCAAACCGTGTCCTGAGCTCAATGTATCGGGCTTTAGATACCTTAGTTGGATTCGCCGGGATGTCGGCCTTCGCGGGGAGGTCGTCCTACTTGACGACTGCAGCTCGTTTATCTTCATTTGTTGTTCGGGTGCCACTACCATGAACATTTGTGCAGCGAAGAGTTCTATAACTTGTATATGCTCGCCAACGTCCAGACCATAAGTGCCGTCTTCGCCCGCGCAACGCAGTGGGGCATGTTATGTATCCGTGTCAATATAATGTGGACTACTCCACGTAGGCAGGGGCACCCGCTATTCGTCAGCTACTGTGACCAGCGCGCTTTGTCGGCGATCAATTGCGTCGGCGCAGTGCATGGGTCGCCTATTGGAGTTGCCCCCAGCAGTGCTCTTCCCCCTGCCGTTCTGCGTACGACATCTGCACGATATGTGCCTCGAGGTCCTGTCTGTCCGTCCTGCCTATGTAGCCTGCGAGCTCTTAGCTCACCTGACGGAGACTATATGAGGCATTGAAGAGCTGAGCATACTTCAGGAGATAGTCCGTTTGGTCGGGATAGAGCCACAGGTCATAGCAAGTCGCCCCGCTGGGAAACTGGCTACGCATGTCAGCGCAGTCCGTAGTGCTGCGCTGCCTGAGCCAATTTCTCGAGCGATCGAGGCTTCGATGTATGAAGAATGTCGTGCGTCGCCGCATTGGACTTGCACATCGCGGTGCCCCACTCCGATGATGACTTGACCCCTGTCGGGATCGTTTCGCACGGCCGGGGAAGGACTGTTCCAGCCTCCCTGGTCGCCTTTGTAGTAGCGGGACGATGACAGTCAACCATGATTTCCTTCGTCATCATATTGCTGACCAGCGATAGTGGTACTGGTCCGTAGTGCACGATTAGTTTTAGCTACTGCAGTGGCTTGAGTGATTCACTCAATGCTTGCCTGGAGGATAGTCTGTTCCCGAGTGGTCGGATGTTCCCGTCTGCTGTGCATGGTCCAGAAAATGCAGGTCGGGTAGCATCCCTGGTTGCCGTCCAAACAGTGCGCTGCATGGAGACACCTCATTGTCAAAAAGGTGAATGCGTTGGCGGCCAATAGGGTATCAAGCAGAAGGCGTGTGAACACAAGAGGTTGATCAGCTTCAATGACGTGAAGTAGGCGTCGTAGTATGCCACTTCTGGTATCAATTGTCGTAGCGCGTTGTCCACGCGCGCGTGTCCTCAACTCAGTGCCTTTTTGCCTTGAGGATTGCATGCGCGGTGTCGTTGTTAAGTGCACCCTATCCGTCGGTGTAGAGTACTTCGGCACGTCCGACTTGCATCCAGCACTGCTGGTAAGCATCTACGATGCTGCTATTAGGTTTCTATGGTATCTCGATTCCATCTCAATGCCATGTCGAATGCAACGAACGATTGTGTGAAATGGATTGTGTTCATGTTTGTAAAACATCAGATCGCATTCGACGATTTGTGCAGTGAACTTGCGAGGTAGTGCAGTAGACGGCATAACGGTATGCCCTGGCTTGCCCAAGCCCTGCTCTCCCGACATGTATCAGAAACGCCCTTCATCAGGTTCAGCCCGACGTTGTCCAGACCAGCATTGGTTAATCTCAACTTAGGCTCTTTGGCGTGGAACCGACGCAAGTGCAATTTTTCTTAACTCGCGTGTTACCACGCTTGGACCAAGGCTGCGTAGGCTCGGTAAACAAATCTGCACATCGAACCTTGACCAATCTGGAAATCTTGGGCGAGCAGCAGGGCCACCCGCAGGTCGCGGTTAAAGTGGAACCCCTCCTTGCTGTCGACTTCGTCTGGCTACTATTTGTGGTAGCCGTCTGTGGTCGTCCGAGCTGCCGGCTCCACTCGAGGCAGGTGGCCCCGCAGCCGTTTCAACGGCATGTCAGGCACCTGCTGTTGGTCCAGCTCTGGAGCCGGGCCTCGG